CTTGACCTTGTAATCCACCCGCCTCGGCCTCCCAAAGTGCTGGGATTACAGGCGTGAGCCACCGCGTCCGGCCATCTGAGTCTTTTTTCATATTCATAGCTTTGCTTGTATATCTTTGCAACATAATGGTAAGCATGCTGCAAATTCAATTTTGTATCTGACAAGTCTACTCATTAAAGTGGACTCCATTTCAGTGTACCCTCCCAGGAAAATGCTGGGGCTCAAGATTAGGTTAAAAGATTTCAGACAGAATGCATCATATGGCCCTGTAGGAAGGATGCCAATTTGGAATGCAGAGACCCAGGGCCAGACACTTAACCTCTCTGAATGTTTGTATTCACAGCATTAGAATACACTGACTTTTTGACAGGCTCAAAGATGATTAGGAGTGTCCAACTAGTTGGTAAAGTATAAAGCCCTCCTGCTCCATGGGTGCGAACCTCCATCCATACACTCAGGTGTTCAGGAACATCATGGGGAATCCCCTGCCCCCTGGGAAGCTCCAGACTCCAGGGGATTTTCATAGTGCCCAGAAATTGAGGGGAAGGTCACTACTCTCCAGACATCCTGGATTCTACCCATGTATGCATTGCCCAACTTCTCTGTGGCCATTCAAACACCTGTGGCTCCGTTTTTATAACCACTTGTGGAATATGGACATCTTTGTTGCTGCCGAGTCCCAGTGCCGTCCCAAGGGACACGCCACACAGCTTTCCCCTGTGGCCTGGTTACTTCCAGGTGCCAAAGTGGAGGGTGATGTGGCTCTTTCCTTAAGCACCGCACAGACTCCGTGAAAGGGGAGGTGCTGGGGAGTAAGGGGTGGGTAAAAGCATTCTTCTCCTGTTTAATTGCTTCTCAGTTCTCCTTAGTGGGTTTAGATTTACCAGACAAGCTTTCTCCAGCCACTTCTGCTTTCTGGCAAAACCCATATCCCCTAAAGAAAACAATTATAGTGCCTAGCCCTGTTTGATGTGAGAAAAGTACAAGGAGAAGATAGAAAGAGAAAGCACAACTTCTCTCTCCCTCTCTCCCTCCCTCCCTCCCTCCTTCTCTCTCCCTCCCTCCCTCCTTCTCTCTCCCTCCCTCCCTCCCTCCTTCTCTCTCCCTCCCTCCTTCTCTCTCCCTCCCTCCCTCCCTCCTTCTTCTCTCTCTCTCTCTCTCTCTCTCTGACTCTGTCTCTTTGGCTAACATTGTTACAAAGTGATTTTTGATTTGTTGGAATCTGTGAAACTAGTCTGCATAGTTTTACACAGCCTTGAACTGTGAAACCTGAGGTTTTTAGTGGAAACCACAGAGGAATTAGACCTCCAGCAACACTGGTGTTTCCAAGAATTCAGAAAAATGCTAAATGAGACCCCTGGCTTTTGTGGCACATAGGTTGAAAGTAGAGAAGCTAGAAAAGCCCACAGGAAATTCATCACTGTAGCCTAATGATTTTGGTTTTCCCCTTGCTACAATAATCCCATGAAAAATCAAAATGACATCTTCCTAGACCACTCATCACAGTTAGGTGCTTCTTACAATTTTGAGTACCACATTGAACATTCAAAAATGGGGACTTTGTAGTGGGTTCCAAAATAGTTAAAATTGTTAAGAAATAAAAATTAAGAGTGACCAGGGTTTTTTAGCCCAGAAAATAATATGACAATTTATTCAATACCCACCATGGGCCAGGCACTGTGAGAAATGGCTTTCTGGTTTTGCTCACTTAGCCTCAATGCCAACCTCATGGGGTCAGTGGGACAACTATTGTGCAGGAGTGGAAACTGAGGCTTGAGGAAGCTGAGATTGTAATGCTCAAAGTCATGTAGCCAGCACAGAATATAATCCAGTGTGAATCTAAGTCCTGTCTTCAGTATCTGTGCTATAAACCATCATGCTACTGTATTGCTGTAGCTGAAGAGTTCATATGACCACCTGTTCAAGGTGGTATAGCTCCTAGAATCCTTTCCATACGGGGAGAGAAGCACAGCATACTAATGCTTCAGGATCGGAGCATCTTAAATTTAAGAAAACGTATTTGACAAAGGGGAGGTTTCTGGGAAGCTCTTTATACAGACACCTTTAAAAAGATTAGAATCGAATCCTGCTAGAATGCTTTAATTGTGGTCCCATGTGAAAGGACTGAATTGACCTCTCGAGTGCCTTGTAGCCCTGTGACTTTATGCTCGTTAATGTAATATTATTAGATATCAAACATATAGCCGTCTCCTCCTGTTTATTAGCAAATCCCTGTGCAATCTCCACTAGGTAGGTTGTTGTACTCAATTTACAAGTGATGAGAATGTGGCAGAAAGAGGTTAATTGAGTTGCCTAAGATTCCACTGGGAAACTGAGCACAACTACCAATTGTTTCCAACCTTACCTCAGTGTTATGTGTGCTGATTGACGTATTTCCTGTCACTCATCCTGTATCTCTGGAAACCTTTCTGCCTTCTCATAATCTGTTCCATTTTCAATTCCGCTGAAGTGTTGTCTGTGAATCAGGCCTGGGAGTCCTATGAGATTGCATTGGGCTCTTCTTCCCACATCTTCCCAGAAATATCCTTGCCTCTTTGCAGAATATTAAAAAGGTTGGATGGGTATGTGTGTGCGTGTGTGAACATGTGTGTGTGAGAGTGTGTGCACACATCCACGATATTGAGAGTTTCTTTTATAGCACCTTTAGTTTCAAATATTTCCTATCAGGAAGAGAAAAACAACTGTTTTTCTAGAATTCTCCTTTTCCTTTTTGAGACTACAGCACAGAGTGATTAGAACATTAGTGCATCTAATAAAAGTGAGAGGCAGATTCGTTATAGGAAGACACAATTTACTTATACACTGAAGTGCTGTCAGAAATTATCATAAAAGTTTTTACTTTGAGCCACACAACAAACCCTAGTGCAGGTTGAAACAACAATACTAAAGATATTTGACTAAAATCTGAGTCTGTGATGAGAGGACAAAAAAATGTTAAATGAACAAACAGTGATCAAAGAGAATACTACTTTTTGGAAGCCAGAGGACAGTGTCTTTATTCATTCCTTCTGCAAATGTTTATTGAGTATCTCCTGGGTGCCAGGCATTTCTGGGCACTGAGAATATACTAGCTAATAGGTCCAATGAAAATTCCTTTTCTCATGGAACTTATATTTTAGTGAGAGAAACAGATAATAAATAAATAAATGAATGAATGAATGAATAACAGCAGCAGCAACAAGACCCATGGATGCTAATGTGTGCCCAGAAGCTCCCAGCAAGGTAATGGAGGAGACAGGAATGGGCTGATATGGCTTGAAAGCAGAAGAGCTCTGGAAGGACGGAGAGGGCCACTTGCATGCATTTGTCCTGTGCTTTGGCTCATTCAAAAAAAAAAGGAACTGGGTGCTTCAGAAGGCAGAACTCTGACTTCATGTTTCTTTTGCACAGAGCCTCTGTTTCCAAAGTATGGCTAGAATTGCTGGCACAAAAGAAGGTTTGTTGCTAATTGTAAAAGATTTGGAGACATTTTTAATAATCAACCTGAATTGTGCACATTTATTAAATATTTTCATTGAAAATTAGCTAAAAGAAGAGTTGTAGCAATTGTAGTAATTTCATCAAGTTGATCTCACCTGTTTAGCTGAGTGTTCACTAGCACTGATAGATTCAAGTGACTTAATCAAAAAAGCAAACCCAACCCAAAAAATACACGTCAGCCTCTCGCACAAAAAAACTAAACAAATTACAAACAAATTAACAAAAACCTGTATCCTCCAGAACAACATGAGAAAACCATTTTTACTTTTTATCAGTCTTCCCTCACTGGTTCCCATGCCTCTGCGAGTGTGAATCTAGATGAGGTCTGCAGGGTGAGGGGCTGCTCTGCTGCACCATCCCAAGGGTGCTATTCTCATAGCAAACTTTGTGCCTGGCTCCTCCTGGAGTCACTAGGACAACCAGTGTGGCAGTACATGGCAGCCCAGGGATGGAGAGACAGAGCAAAGGACCTAGAGCTCTATGTCTCCTGGAGGCCTTTGCTACTGATGTTCCTTGGATCTAAATTCCTCAGCTCAGTTTCTGATTCTTCTTCCAATGTGGTTGAAGGATTTTTTTTTTTCTTTTAAAAGGTTCAATTATTTTGAAGAATTAGCTTTTATTTGAGAACAAAATTTCTCATGGGACTTTCCTGGGAATCTTGTTAAAATGCAGATTGAAATTCAGTAGGGCGGGGGTCAGGTCTGAGTTGCTGCATGCTCCAGGGTGAGGCTGATGCTGTTGATCCCTGGACCACAGTTTGGAGAAGCAAAGTTTCTAATCAAAGAAGAAGGAGCATATCACTGGTATGCTTCTTTCTCTCTTAAACAGTTAGTAAAACATCCTCGTTTTTGTTTTTTCTAACTGCATGTATTATGCATATTATAGAAACTTTAAAAATTATAAATAAGGGGAAAAAAGAGAAAAAAATACCTATTACTAGATCAAATACAAATTCAGGATTTAGCAAGTTTTAAAGAATGAATAATTTTTATAGTATAAGCATATCCCTAATGTGTAAGATATTCTAAAATATTATTTATCACTTAACTGAAATTTAAATTTAACTGAGTGTCTTGTGTTTATCTAGTAACACTACCTATAATCCTTTCATTTTAAGATTACTACTTTTAATCTTATAGCATAAATTCTTACAGTTGTTTATATAAAACACACCTGCGTGCACACACATGTGAGTATGTATCCCTTTATAGTTTAGAAAGTTCTAACAACCAATAATTTTGTTGAAAATCTTGAGAGTTTTCACATATCTACTCCTACTTTATGGATGGTAAAAGTTATGCTTAGAAGGAACCATGTAAAGAATGACTTAGCAATGAGGGATCCTGGGTTCTACTACAGGATATATTTGCCCAGCACTTCTTTTCTTTTCTTTGGTTCTTTCTTTCTTTCTTTCTTTCTTTCTTTCGTTCTTTCTTTCTTTCTTTCTTTTTTTTTTTTTGTATGTGTGCTACGCTAGAGCTTTACAATTTAATTTCAGGTCAGGCCATCCAATTAATAATGCGGCTCAGTTGCCATTAAACAATTTGGCAGTGCTGACTGGGACTGGATATGAACATGGTCAAGATGATTAGATTAGCCATGTAATTGCCCCAGTTCTGTGGCAAATTCATAATGGAGTCTTTCAGTTTTCATGCAGTTCAGCGTGATTCAAGATGATATAATTTTGAAGAAATTACACGTTTTTATTTTTAAAACAAACTCTACAACAATGAGTGTTACTTACACATTAATTTATCATCTCAGAAGAAACACGGTGTTTTAAAAAATGCAGAGATAATAAACATCCCAGCAGTCCCATCCCTGCCTTTTCATTGTACTAAGATTGGTGATGGAGCTTTGGTCAGGGATTTATCAAGGGAATTTCTGCAACTTAATGTTTCAAGTCTCCTAGGGCTGGGTCTTATTGTACAGAGCAAAATTGCTACAGATTTAGTATATTTTTTTAAAAAATTCACCAGTATTTTGGTCAATTAATTAACTTGGTTTAGGTGAATGGGAAGAAGTAAAGCATGCTCTGTGTATTTTTATCATTTAGTTGTTGCTAAGACTCACCAAAGGCCTCAAGGCAAAGAGTTTTAATTAAAGAAATATGTGGGCAGGAATCTGCCTGCACAGCTTAAGAGTATGTTACCATTTATGAAGTTGGAATTCCCTAACATTAATTGGATCAAGCATATGGAATCTATATTAGGCAATGCCCTTTAATGTAGTCCCTAGAGTGCTGACATGTGCCATACAAATAGGTGCCTTCTGATAATGTTCAGTCTTCTTCACTTTCCCCTTCTTGCTTTTATAGCATGGGTGTGCCTGGCTTTGGGGATAGGAAGATGAAAAAGCTACGGACCATGCCTGAAGGAAACCATGATCAAGTAGGAGAGACTGATGTCTAAGCAAGTAACTAAAAGAGGATGACACATGACATAACAGCAGTAGTCACAAGGGACAGAAACAGCACAACGGAGATGGGCTCTGTCTAGGAGAGAAGGTAGTGAGGAAAGATTTGTAGAGGGAAAGCTTTCCATGATTAAGCCTTTGAAGGATTAATGGGAGTTCACCAGGCAAAGAAGGTGAGAAAGGGCATTCTAGGTCAAGGAAACAGTAAGTGCAAAGGTGTATTTGGAGAAGTACAATGTGTTTGGTATTCTTATAGTATAAAGTCCAAAGAGGAGAATTGTTCAGCATGACGTTGGAGATGTGGGGTGTGTGTGGGACGTTACATGAAGTGCTTCACGTTCTGTGCTAAGGAGTTTAGAGTTCACACTGTTGGTACCTAAAGATTTTAATAGGAAATAATTTGGTCAATTCATATTTTATAAAGATCTATCTGGTGGATGTGTGGCAGATAAATAGGTAGAAACAAGGTAGGGTTGGTTAGGAAGCACTGTACTAACCCAAGTCTTGAATGATGTTGAAGGTCTGTACTAAGGGGCTGTGGGAAAGTGGGATAGATTTGACAGAGATTTAGGAGGTAAGATCAACACAGCTTAAATGGTTGCGGTGAGGGAAAAGTAAAGGTATAGGATAATGCCAAGGTTTCAGCATGAGTAACTTGGTGAATGGTGGAGCTACCAAGTGAGATAGAGAATACAGAAGAAATATCAGGTAGAGGAGTAGAATGTGGGGTTGGGGATGGACAGTGAGTAAAATTTTGGACTGATGTCCACAATTTATGTTAAGTGGATATGTACTGAGCTTAGAAGTAGACGCAGGGTAATATTTTGGAAGTGAGGAATATGAGATACTTTTGAAACACCAAGAAGAGATATCTCCTAGGTGGTAGATTTATGTGATCAGAGTTCAGGATAAAGGCCAAAGCTGTACACAGAAATTTAGGACTTACTAGCATGGAGGTCATCATTAAATCTATGGAAAAGTTTGCCCAAGAGTAAGAAAAGGAAGAGCAAAGTGTAGAATTGGGGGAAGCGCCAATGTTTAGAGAAATATGAGAGAATGAGGCTGAAAGAAATTTTCAAAGACAGAAGAACTAATTAAGTATGATATCTATACTTCCATCCATCTATCCACCTACCCACACACCTACCTGGCCACCCATTTAGTCAACAGAAATTCATTTATTGAGAATTTATGGTATGTCAGGGACACAGACTGTAATAGGCACTGCAGGGATCACAGAGATTAAAGAAAAATGTGATTTTTACTCTTAAAGAGTTTCTAATCTAGTCAGAGTAAGAGATTTGGGATGTTAAATCATGTTCATTTAAAAAAAGAAAATTTAAAAAGACTGAGAACAGTGGCCGGCACCTGCAATCTCAGTGGTTTGGGAGGCTGAGGCAGGAGGATTGCTGGAGGCCTGAAGTTTGAGGCTTCAGTGAGCTGTGATTCTACTGCTGAACTCCAGCCTGGGTGACGGAGCAAGGCCCTTTCACCAAGAAAAAACAAAAAACAAAAAGTAATAAGAAGAAGGAAAAAGAGGGTGAGGGCAAGGGGAGGCCAATTTTGATTAACTTTACTCATTTCAAGTTTTAGACCTTATCGCAGTAATCCCGTGTGAGTCTAGAAGATTTTGTTATCTATATATTTTGAGAGAAGCCCTCCTCAAAATTTGTTTTTGACATGAAAAGCCAGGACCTTTTGTATGATATGAGAGTAGGAACACTTTATCACTTTTTTTGTATCATTAAAAAGAAAAAAAAATAGTAGTATCAGTTGTTTGAAATATACATTGATAATAGAATGAATAAAAATTAATATGTTTAATTATTTTAGGTATAGTTTTTGCTGAAGTCAGGTTGACTGGACTTTATGGTCGTCTAAGGAGGCTTTTTAGTGCTTAAGAAGCTCACTTATGATTTTTCAGAAATATACATGCTTAGCCATCAACTGGAAAGTCAGTTTTTAAAAATGTAACATTGCATGGAGGAATTATTCATAGAACTTATTTCAGATATCTCCCGTACATGCTCTGTAATGGGTTCAGTCTTCCTTGAAGGATTTTAGACTTCAGACAGAACTCCTGCTATGAAATCAGCTTCTATAGAATGATTAAGCCTCATATAAGTCACTGAAATAGTGTCGATATTTCTAAAACCGGCACGGAATTGAAGTTTCCATGACTTTTTTTTTTTAAAGGATGCAGATGTTAATGCTTATACTTGCAGAAATAGAGCATTATAGAGAAAAAGATACTTTAAGAGGATCGTCACCCAGCATATTCTTTTCTCTCTCTACCCGCAGCAACTAACTAGTTCATTATTTAGTTACTTCTTAAACATTTCCAATGAAGTCTTCTGAAGACTGTCATGGGAATGTTCTTTGGAGCTTATTTCTAAAATCTAGTGGATGCAAAGGGACTTTTTTTCTGGACCTCTTGGCCCACGAGCTTTTCAACTCTTTACTTTCCGGTTGTATGTAGTTGAAAAATAACCTTTATGCACATTGAGCCAGGCTATTACATTTATTTTGTGACCAAATGAAATAAAATGTTTGTACTCATAATGCATTAATTAATATTTCTCTAATTTTCAATTCCACAGTGATACACTTTCATTTCCTCTTTATTAGAAAGAGGAAATGAATATAACAGGAAGAGCTAAGGATTTTAGCAATCTTGTAAAGTCTGATACAAACCTAATGGTATCATCAGACATGCATTTAGGTGTGCAAAAATGTGTTATGTAAGATGCTTCCCCTAGACCCACTCACCAGCCCTGCCAAGGCGGCTGGGCAGCATGGCTCCCCTCTCCAGCATGGAAGGACAGACGGACTGCCCTGAGGAGGCAGGGAGGGGAGGGCTAGGCCTGCTGGCTGACGGGCAGGTCACTATGCTGAACTTCTGCACTGCCCCCACCTGCATGCGAAGGAGCACCCAGTCCAACCTGGCTTTCTTCAGGTTCTCCAGGGACCTAGCCAGATGCCAAGAGTGGGTGGAGAATTGTAGGAGATCAGACTTAGAAGATAAGACTCCTGATTAGCTAAATAAACATTATTGATTATGTGCCAAACATTTTGAGACCTCTATGACCTGTAGAACTATACATTTTGCAAAGGAATTGGAAAACTAAAAAATGATTGGGTTATTTTATTTTTTAAAATTAATTGAAGCAGATACGTGTGAAGTCATGGGGAAAGTCCTTATAGGACAGTTCTTCGAGGTAATGCAGTACCAACAATATTTGATCTTGCCAGTCATTTGGGCAACCTACATAGTAGACAGAAAGCAAATAAAAGAACTGAGTGAACTCGAAGTCAGGACACTGAAACAGAAAAAAACTGATAAAACTTCTGAACAGGAACAAGAACATAAAGAAACCAACAATAGCAATGCTCAGAACCCCAGTGAAGAAGTGGATGAAGGACAAGATGAGACTTTTACCCCTAACCCCTGAAGAGAAGGAAAACAAATACCTAAAATCTCTATTTAAAATCTTGGTTCTTATGGGAAAGCAAAACGTACTTCTGGATGGACATGAGGCTGATGAAATCCCAGAAGGTCTCTTTACTCCAGATAACTTTCATGCGCTGCTGGAGTGCCAGATAAATTCTGGTGAAGACATCCCAAGAAAGCGCTTTGAGACAACAGCAGTTAACATGTTTTGTTCAAAAACACAGCAGAGGCAGATGCTAGAAATCTGTGAGAGCTATATTTGAGAAGAAATTCTCAGGGAAGTGAGAGACTCACCCTTCTTTTCCATTATCACTGATGATGTAGTGGACCCAGCAGGGGAAGGGCACCTGCCTGTGTTGGTGAGGTTTGTCGAAGAAGCTCATAACCTAAGAGAGGAATTTGCAGGCTTCCTGCCTTATGAAGCTGATGCAGAAATTTCAGCTGTGAAATTTCACACTGCAATAACTGAGAAGTAGGGATTAAGTATGTGGCCAGGCTTATGTTGTGTCTAGTGGATTTTCATCCAAAATGAAAGTTGTTGCTTCTGGACTTTTAGAGAAGTATCTCCAAGCTATCTTCACAGTCTTCTCTTCTGTGCTTTAAATATGTGGTTGGTAAAATCAGTACCTGTTACGGGAGAAGCTATTGCATTAGGAACAATTGAGAAAGTTTGTTCTTTTTTCCATCGATCACCACAACTGCTTTTAGAACTTGACAATGTTGTTTCTGTTCTTTTTTCAGACAAGTAAAGAAAGGGATGAAGAACTGAGGGAAATCTGCCATTCTCAGTGGACAGGCAGGGGTGATGTTTTTGAAATTTTAGTAGAACTCCTGCGAGCAATTGTTTTATGTATATATGGTATCAATAGTGACATAAATAGATGGAATAACTGTATAATTGGCCAAGGGTTTGTACTCTGCAGTGCAGTGGCAGATTTTGATTTCATTGTTGCTATTGTTGTTCTTAAAAATATCCGATCTTTTACAAGAGCCTTTGGGGAAAATCTCCAGGGGCAAACCACTGATGTCTTCTTTGCAGCCTGTAGCTTGACTGCAGTACTGCATTCACTGAATGATGTGATGGAAAATATTGAAGTTTATCATGAACTTTAGTTTAAAGAAGCCACAAATTTGACAACCAAACTTGATATTCAAATGAAACTCCCTGGGAAATTCCACAGAGCTACCAGGGTAACTTGGAATCTCAGCTAATCTCCGAGAGTTACTATAAAAGAAACGCTGAGTGTCCCAACAATGGAGCACATTATTCAAGAACTTAAAGATACATTCTCAGAACAGCACCTCACAGCTCTTACTTTCAGGCATGGGACAACTCAAATTCAATACATTGGAGGAACACCATGCTGATGTGTATAGAAGTGACTTACCCAATCCTATCACACTCTCAACCAAGTTTCATTGTTGGAGAATCAAATGGAAATGCAGAGAGAACGATATAGAGCTTCCATTCACCATCTGTGAAGACTTCCACCTGCCTGACATCAAGTTTTTTCCTAATGTGCATACATTGCTGAAGGTCCTGGGTATTCTTCCTGTGATGAAGGTTGAGAATGAGAGGTATGGAAATGGTTGAAAGCGTCTTAAAGCATATATGAGGAACACTTTGGCAGAGCAAAGGTTGAGTAACTTGGCTTTGCTTAACATCAATTTTGATATAAACCACGACTTGTATTTAATGGTGGACCCATCTATTAAACTTTATACAAGTAAGTCAGAGCTTCCCACAGATAATTCAGAAACCATGGAAAATACCTAAGAGACTTATTAAAATAGCCTTTCTTATATTTGATATTTGGAAGAAAAGCCATAAAGTATATGTAGGCCACTTAACCACTAAATATCTTTGCCTATAGGACTCCATTGAAAACATTCGTCACTGATAATCTACCTGTTTAAATGGCCCCTGTTTGAACTCTCATGCTTTGAAGACCTATCTGTCTTCCAGAAGAGAACACTGAAAGGACCGTGTTTCCTTCTGTGTGATCTCTGCTGGTGGCACTTGAATTGTTTCAGTTAGGTCATTTCAGGCACAGCCTTTATTATCCCTGTGGATCTCTACTTGTTGGGTGTTATGAATTCTTTGAAGAAATATATTTTGAAGAGATGTAGGAGGAAGGAATACGTTTTATAAAATGTTATAGTGAAGTCCACACTTGACCTTTGACTAATAGGAGTTTTAAGCAGGTTAAAAATCTATACTGGGCAGTTATAAGAAATTACTGGAGAAAAGCTTGTGAGCTCTCCAAACAAGGATTTCAGTGTAGATTTTGTCTTTCTCAAATGAACATGAAGGAACAAATGACAGTTAGCGTTTGACTGGAAGAGCCTGCCATTGTTCTGCGTCTCGTTGCTGTTTACATTCCTTTGTGGAGCCCACATCTTCCTAAGCTTTTTAGCAGGTGTATGCTGAACACTTCTGTTTGATGGTTAAGATGGAATCAGAGGCCATGGCTACTGACAACTAATTTGTCTAGTTTTTTTTTTTTCTTTTTCCATGACTCTCTTCTACTGCCTCATCTTGATTTTTAAGCAAAACCTGGAAAACCTACAAAAATAAGTGTTGTGGTTTTTCTAGAAAAATATGGAAAATATCGCTGTTATTTTTGGTGAAGAAAATCAATTTTGTAAAGTTTATTTCAATCTAAATAAAATGTGAATTTTGTTTAACGTTCAGGCACATTATTTTTGGTGGGGTCAAAACTTTCTTGTGTAAATTCTCTTAAAAAACATTTGATAAACAGCTTCACAATTTTAAAAAAAAGATGCTTTCCCTATATTATCCTGCAAAACTTTGTGTTAACAATACTATTTAGCTGTGTTTTAAAGTATTGCCACCTCACTTTCCTTTACAGACTGTTTCATTTTGTGTTAAACATGTCTTAATTAAGATGCTAATGTATATCTTTCCTTTATAATAATATTTTCTTAAACATCAATTTACTTATTCCTTTTTTTAAGAGGATTCTGCAAATACTTGGGAAAAAATTCCTAACTGTGACTTATGCTAATAGGGCTGTTACATAATTTAAAAAAATAAAATTTAATTTAAGAAAAATAACATTAATTAAAATATATATGTCTCTAGATTCTGTTTATCATACAGTAAAAAAAACACACTTGAATAAAGCTCTATAGTGTATTCAGGGATGATGATTAAAATATTTATTAACCAGTAAGGCATGGGCACTGCCCAGTGAGAATGGCATTGACGTCAGTTCAGGAGCAGAGTCCTGGGAATCTCCTGATATGGGTATTAGTCTGTAGGTGCCAGGCTATGAGTGGGGCAGGATGCTTGGTGTGGGGCCAAGGCTGCAGCAGAGCACTGGCAGGCTTAGGGTAACAGCCATATCAAATCTGCATGGAAGTAGTTCAATACTTTAACCACCAGTACTCATGGACCAGGATGTCCTAGCTGAACAGTCGCTCTCTCTCTGTATAAAAGATTCTATGTTACACTTTATTAGGGGTTGGTGGCAGTGGAGATCTCAGTGGTGTAAAATCACTTCTGGTCCTTCAAAGCCAGCTGAGGCAGAGTGAATGTACTCAGAGAATGTCTCTGCAGTCTGATGGATCTTGTCCATTGGGCAGGAGATGGCCTGAAATGCATGGGGTCATCTGCATGAAGAACAGGTCTTTGTCTTACTCATCATTGTATCCCCAGTACTTGAAGCTATTTTAAGGCTCAACGATGAATGAATGACAACAACGGCTGTTTTGACATGTAGGTTTTATTATTCAGGTGTGGTGAGGCCAGCAGATAAGGAAACTGTTGCCATTGAAAAGTTTGCTACTCACAGCTCCCCAGAAGAAGGGGCACCTCATCGCCTGAAGGGCCACAAAGGGGAGCACCAGGGTTAGTCAGGAGGCAAAGGTGGATGTGGGGAACATGGGCAGGAGACTATTCTAGTGTCAGTAGAAAGGGATGGGTGAAGCAGGGTTAGGATTGGCTAGTTGGGATAATTACAGTGGTCTGTGAGGTATAGAGACTGTCTCTAATTGTCTAGTACCTGGCTCTGAGGCAGAATAGTAGGCTGGAATGTAAGAGTATGATAAGGGAGGTGGTGGCAGTGTGAGTTCTGGATCAGTTTGCATTTATTTGAAAGGTGTGCTCCCAAGAGAATCATTTACTATCTCTAGGAATATAGCCCCAGGAGGGTCAGTCTCTCCAAAATCTGCATTGTTTCAGATGTCAAAGAATAAAAAATATAGAACATAAAAAGGCATGATTAAAACAGTTAATACCCTTGAGAAGTCACGCAAATGTCACCTTTATCATTAAAAGTCTGATGAACACAAGCAGAGATGTTTTCTTTCTCTTTTCACCTGTGGGTACTTCTAATATAGCACTCAATGCTAATTATTGTAGCCAAGATTTATTAAGCCCCTGCTATGTGTCCAGCACTATGCTAAGAATTCACATGCATTAGGCCAATAAGTGTCCACAACACCCCATGCAGTATGTTCTGTTTCCATCCTTGCAGGAGCCTTGAGAAATGAGTTAATCAAAGTCACATAGAGCGATGATGTGATGCTCTTACTCTCTGTGCTGTACTCTATCTTTCATTCATTCTATTTCAGTAGCTTGCTTGTGTGTCTGTTGTCACAACTAGTTTGAGCAGCTCAACATGTTGGGCAGTTCTCATCTGTGTATGTCCAGTCTTCATCACAAGAGTAGGCACTTTATAAACCTACGTGGAATCAATAAGTGAAGTTTCCACCAGCTTTTCTCTTTGATTTGAGCAACCCGATAAGCAGCAGAGTATCTAGTGATGGTGAGAGAGCTGTCTCCAGAGTAAGAACTGTTTTCTGGCTTCCTGTTTTTTATGACATTCTCTGAGAATGGGAATTTGGGAAGAAAGAAATACATTACTCTGCAAATGCTTATTTCTGTTTTGTGGGACTTGTGGTTTACTTAATCTGGGTTACACAAATGCTTGCTTTACAGGTGACTGCCTTTAGAGAGAAGTGTGTGAGATGTACGGCCTGTCCCTGGGAAAACCAAGTGAATGTACAGAACATACTCCAACCCGGGAAAGTTATTGGGAGAGATAGAGTTACTGTCTATGTCACATTGGGCTTTCCTGATTGTCTCCTTTGCTTAATCTTTCCCCCAGCTTGCCACCAGTCCTGTTTCAGATGTGCAGGGAAAAGCCCACATAACTGCACAGACTGTGGGCCTTCCCATGTGCTGTTGGATGGGCAGTGCCTCTCCCAGTGCCCAGATGGCTACTTTCACCAGGAAAGTAGTTGCACAGGTGAGTATGTAACGTGCTGGGGCACATTGCCTATGCCCATATTTTGTCTTCATAGCATAGACAGACACTGTAATTAGGAAACTTGTCATACCAGGGACTAAGATTCAACTGTAAATCCTTGTCTTGAACTTGCAGGTTCAAAGTATAGAGGGAGGGGAATAAATGAAATTTAGTTCTTCCAGTAAGGAAGAATGGAAATAAAACATTAGAATCAGCTTTACCCTAGAGACTATAATATTTGAGTCAACTCTGAACTTGATCTGAATCAAGACAATGATCTGAATAAATACCTCTTGTCATGGACTAAATAATAACCTTTATTTCCTATAAGAACTAGAACTTAGTTCAGCATAACTCCTTGTTGCTATGCTCAGGTTGTGGGGATCCTATTGTCGCCCAAGCTGGAGTGCAGTGGTGTTATCACAGCTCACTGCAACCTTACCTCAGCTTCCTGGGCTCAAGCAATCATCCCACCTCAGCCTCATGAGTAGCTGAAACCATACGCATGTGCCACCATGTCTGGCCAATTTTTTATTTTTATTTGTAGAAAAAAGTGTTGCCCAGGTTAGATATGAACTCCTGGGCTCTAGTGATCCTCCCACCTTGGCCTCCCAAAGTGCTGAGATTACAGATGTGAGCTACTGCACCTAGCCTGTGGCTCTTTTTAAAAGTTTAAAGGTTTATGTTTCTGATTATTAAAGGGATATGTACTCATTGTAGGATTGAAAGTTCAGAATAGGAAAAATAAATGGGGATTGGGGATAAAGATCACTGAATATGCCACATTTTAGAAACAATAAGTCTTACCCTGGTAATAGATTCCTTTTGATGTACTTTTAATGCATGTTATTACATAATTGAGAACAAATTTGAGCTATGCTTTTTTATATTTTTTCAAAACATAAAGTCATAAATAATTTTCTGTGATAAAACTTATATGTACAGATATGTGTGTATATTTACCATTTTTCATGGCTGCATACTATTCCATTTCTTTTTTCTTTTTTTTTTAAGAGATGGATTCTTACTCTGTCACGCAGGCTGGAGTGCAGTAATGTGATCATAGCTCATTGCATCCTTGAACACCTGGGTTCTAGCGATCCTCCTACCTCACTAGAGCTGGAACTATAGACATACACCACCATGTGCACTAAATTGTTTAAAAATTCTTTTGTAGAGACAGGGTTTCAGTTTGTTCCCAGGCTTGTTCTGAACTCCTGGCCTCAAGCAATCCTCCCACTTCAGCATCCCAAAGTCCTGACTGCATTTCTTTTCTCAATGGAGAAAAGATTTGAAATTTGGCAACTTGGACACCTGAAGACACTAGGGAGATCTTTTACTTTCTCTCTCTTAATGAGGTACTGCTCTGGTTATCAATTGTTGCCTAATAAAGCACCCAAAATTTGTGGCTTAAGACAACAATTATGTTTCCCAGTTCTGAGGATTGCTGGGCAGCTCTTTCTTCAGGTCCTACAGGTGGGCTCTTCACTGACATGTTCATCACCTGGGTTGGTCAACAACTTCTTACCCTATGAGGCCTCTTCTCTAATTTACTTCCTCACAACATGGCAATCTCAGCTAGGCAGTCAGTTTTGTTTTTGTTTTTGTTTTTTGAGACGGAGTTTCGCTCGTGTGACCCAGGCTGGAGTGCAATGGTGCGATCTCATCTCACTGCAACCTCCGCCTCCTGGGTTCAGGCAATTCTCCTGCCTCAGCCTCCAGAGTAGCTGGGATTACAGGCACATGCCACCATGCCCAGCTAATTTTTTGTATTTTTAGTAGAGACGGGGTTTCACCATGTTAGCCAGGATGGTCTCGATCTCTTGACCTCGTGATCCACCTGCCTCAGCTTCCCAAAGTGCTGGGATTACAGGCATAAGCCACAGCGCCCGGCAGCTAGTCAGTCTTTTTATGTGTCAGCTGTCTTCTCCTGGAATGAGTATTCCAAAAGACCTAAGCAGAAACTGCAAACTGCCTATCACCTAACCTGAGAAGCCTCACTGTCACTTCTGCTATACTCTGTTGGTCAAAGCAAGATAACCCGTATTTGAGTGGGTGAAGCAATAGCAAAAACCTCTCAGTAGGGGAATGGCTTATGTACACAGTAAGGGATAGATTTGATAATCTTTGTGATGGAGACAAGCTACTGGGTGCTAATACATTTGTATGGAATCAGGAATTTGGCACAGGTAACTGCACTTCCCAGCCCCACTTCCCCTGGCTATGGCAGAATAGAACAAAAGGAGACAGAAGTATTTGCTTCATTCTTTAACATGTCAGTCCAGTACGTTTTTAAGAGCACCTTTACGTTTCAGTGACAGAGATTCTGAAAATACTGTTTGGGATTAGTACAGAATTTTGTTGGAATTGACAAAATACTAAAATTTAAGGACTTTATTACAGAGCTGTGTG